GGAGAACATAAAGCCCTGTATTTGGTTTGATGCATTTCCCACACGCCGCCAGTTTCAGTTTCGCTTTAAAGGGGTCATATGATGCCATTTCAATTGTTCCTTTCTCTTTGGAGTGTTACAAGCTCTTGCTGCATAAAGAAGATCTGAATAATGTGTTTTTTGAACCTTAAACCGCATAAACACATTTCATTACACCAAATACACAAAATAATGTTATTTTTAGCAACATCATATGACCCCTTTAAATAAATTAGTTTAGGCTTTTATAAAAGGGGGTTTATAATTGTTTATAATGAATGAGAGTATAATTTCAGTTTGTTTTATGCCTGTATTTTTCATTCATTTTTCTGTTCTGAATACTACAAAATTTAAAGGATTTGTTGTGGAGGGGAAGAAAAATACATGATGTTTGCAAACATTTAGTTTATTTTACATTATTTCTGAATGAAATTATAAAATGTGACTTACACATCAATCAACTTATATGCTCATAAAAAAAAGGTAGAGATGGTACAAGAATGGAGCTTCCATGTATACTTCCATGTACAAGTACTCATACAATACAGTAGTAACTGAGTCAATTTAGAATAAATAAAAAAAAAAAAATCAATCAAAGCTTAATTTGTCATGCATATACTATGTGGCCCCTTGCTTATATCCAAAAAAGCTGATGTGGCCCTTGAGTCAAAATGTTTGGTTAAAATGTTGGTCTACACAAATACAAAGATTCTTGAAGAAATGCTTTCTGAAATCATCTCAGATTTTGTTGGGAACATGTAGCATGGATGCTAGGCTGGACTGGGCCATGCTACTGCTGCAGTAATCGTCAGACCTGATGCCATCTCCAACACTGACCTGATCTCATTACACTGCTAAGGTTACGTTAACAGTTCGCTTGGCATAAACTTTGGACTGCCCGCCAGTCGTCTGTCACAGTCCGTTCACTGACCGTCTGATGTGATTTACAAATTCTCTGCTACGAATTAATCTGAGGAAGATCTAGTCGCACGTTTGTGAGCTTCATGACATTTATTCTTTGAAAGATACTTGACTGATTTAAATTGAGACACTTACTAGAAACTGAACCAGAGATCCCACTCATCAGATCTGGCACACAGAAGCTTTATTATGTCGTTCAGATGGTCACTTCCTGACATTTTGACACTATTGACCACAACATTCTTTTGATTAGACTACAAAATTATGTAGGCATTAGTGGAATTGCTTTGGCATGGTTCAAATCGTACTTATCTGACCGCCATCAATTCGTAGCAGTGAATGAAGAGGTATCATATTGATCACAAGTGCAGTATGGAGTACCTCAAGGCTCAGTACTAGGGCCGTTACTCTTCACGCTTTACATGTTACCCTTGGGAGATATCATCAGGAAACACGGTGTTAGCTTTCACTGTTATGCTGATGATACTCAGCTCTATATTTCTTCACGGCCTGATGAAACATACAAACTCGCAAAACTAACAGAATGCAAAGTTGACATAATAAAACTGGATGACTAGTAATTTCCTACTGCTAAATTCTGAAAAAACAGAGGTTTTAATTATTGGACCAAAAATCTCCCTATTAAACATTGTATACATTTCAAAATCTTGCTAATTACTTATAAAGCCCTGAATGGTTTAGCACCTCAGTATTTGAACGAGCTCTTATTGCATTATTGTCCTTTACGTCCGCTGCGTTCTCAAAACTCTGGCAATTTGATAATACCTAGAATATCAAAATCAACTGCGGGCGGCAGATCCTTCTTCTATTTAGCGCCCAAACTCTGGAATAACCTACCTAACATTGTTCGGGAGGCAGACACACTCTGTAGTTTAAATTTAGATTAAAGACCCATCTCTTTAACCTGGCTTACACATAACACACTAACACATTTCTAATATTCAAATCCGTTAAAGGATTGTTAGGCTGCATTAATTAGGTCATCCGTAACCGGGAGCCACTCAGATCCAGACTGTAGTCAGATCAGATGGTCACCTGGATCAAGCCATATCCAACCCAGATGGTGGATCAGCACCTAGAGAGGACCTCTACAGCCCTGAAAGACAGCGGAGACCAGGACAACTAGATGAGCCCCAGATACAGATCCCCTGTAAAGACCTTGTCTCAGACGGCCACCGGGACAAGACCACAGGAACCAGATGAGTCCTCTGCACAATCTGACTTTGCTGCAGCCTGGAATTGAACTGCTGGTTTTGTCTGGTCAGAGGAGAACTGGCCCCCCGACTGAGCCTGGTTTCTCCCAAGGTTTTTTCTCCATTCTGTCACCGATGGAGTTTTGGTTCCTCTGGCTTGCTTAGTTGGGGACGCTTGACTGATTGCACAAACACTATTGGAAGAGATCTGACCTGGATGATGACATCCATGGTGTGAACTACACAGTGACCATTGGGGGGGTCAGAGCACTTGGGGTGGGTATTTTTAATGTTTTTAAAAAAAAACTAATTGCATAATGTGCTGATTAATAATTCAAATTAATGAGATTCATTAATTAACATGCACATCATGTGCCGATTAAAGATAAAGTTATTATTAAAGATAATACCGGTAGTTATCATTGTGTTAATTTAGAAAAAAACCACTGAATAGACATTACAAAAAAGTAGCCGAAATATAAGTAGCTTTAGAAAGAAATATTTTAATTCAACATACAAACATGCAAATAAATAGTGAAATATGAAATTATTATAAAAAAGAAACGATACTCTAAACATAAAACTAAACGCGCCAGTAGGTCATTCAGAGTCATTCAATCATTCATTCAATCAATCGATTCGTGCAAACTGCTGATTCATTCAGAAACGAAGCAACTGCCTTTATGAATGGTTCACTGAATCACTGATTCACTCGATTCGTTTACAAATGTGGATTCATTAATGAAACACCGCTGTGTGTTGATCAGAGATGCACAACAGTTCTCCTAGGGCTTTATTTTCGTTGGCGAAATTACTGACAATGTGTCTAAAATGTAATTATTGACACCTTTACTTTATCTTCATTTTTAGGTTAAAAACTTTTATGTAACCTATTTTTGTCTTTCTACCAGCCAATGATGATTCTGAAAGAAAACACGCAGTGTTTGTTATAGTAACACATGCAACTTTCACGCGCATCTGACGGACAGAACCGTGCGCTTGTATTTCAGCCAGCGGTGATGTTAATGTTGTGGTTATTTTAGCAAACAGTTTGCTCTGTAAATTCAGTTCAACAGCATTAAGTTGAAGAGGGTAAACTTTATCACTCGACTGAATCTACACATGCATTTCAGGTGTTCTTGCTCCGTCCAAGCAATAAATGCACGTCTTTGAATCAGTGCTATAGCGTATTCTCCATCCGCTCAGATAATGTCAGAATGGCTCATTTCAGGAGCTGCCAAATTTTAAAATTTTTTTTAATCAGTCAAGGCTATAGAAATGCATCTTAATATTTACAAGTAAATCTCCACATTATGCGTAGGCTAGCCTTCTTTCTATCTGACCCCCTTACATCTAGTGTTGACGTCCATCAGGGGGGGATAAAGCCTTCTTTAGGGGGGTCAGACCCCCCCGTAATTCGCACCCTGATGACATCACTGAATCATCAATGGACAGACTTTAGCTGGAAAATGACTCTTTGTTATTGTCGTCTTGCATTATTGACAAACTATTTTGCTGTTTGACAGTCACAATCAGAATTGAAGCTGTTTTGACACAATCAGTATTGTATAAAGCTCTATATAAACAAAGGTGACTTGACTTCAGGTCTCTGCGCTGGGTCTAGTGTGCTAGTCAGCAGGTCTGAGCAGTTCACCAAACAATGCAAACATCCCAGCTCCTCTCTGCCCTGTTTTTGTTGTTGTTTATGACCCACATCATCTGATTAGCCTGCTAACTGTGTGAGGCAGCTTGGTCATGATCACGTCTACACTCGTCAACAAATCTGGGCCGTTAAGATGGAAATCAGCACGCCAAGACACACAGCTCTCTCACTAGCCATCCTAACGAGCACAGCCTGTGACTCACTGTCTGATGGGTCAGATCAGTCTATTTCCAGAACCTGCTGGTTTCAGTGAGGTAGTTTTGGAAAAGCATTTGTCCTGGATTATGTCTTAATAGCACATCTGGATCACATGATCAGAGCTGGACTGAGGGTTTTGTAGAGGCTCACGTGACCCGCCTCTGGGGACCTTCACAAGTTCAAGATTCACAGCAGAACATCTAATTTTAGGCAAGACAGACATCCTCCAGTGAATCTCTGTCACGCTGCAGGCCAACAAAAGCTCTATCCTGACACTTTAGCCTACTGTACGTCTGTCTGTATCTGTTCATCGGGAAGTTTTAGATCACACATCACATCATGCTTATGAACATTCAGCTCCTGAAAGGCATTCAGGGCACGTCGGCCATACACACGGCACAGTCGCACATCCAGCAGCTCATCTGGAGCTCGATATTCATGTTCACACTCATTCAGTCACCTGACGCTAAATGTTGGTGTTTATTCGCTTCCACATCATCTGAGATGCATGTTCATTTGGCTCTGTGAACTGCATTAAAACGTCTTTATAAAGCAACGGTTCTTTGCAGCAAAATCACCCTTTCTGTGTTTCTGTGGTCTGCTTCTGATGCCCCAAATAACAGTGGTGTGACGACACACGCCGCAATATATGTAGCGTTGATGCTGCACAAAAGAAAACAGCATGAAGAACATCAGAGTCAGCTGGTGTTTCGCACAGCGTCTGTGAAGCTTCAGCGTCTGACGCACAGCACCGTGTCTCATATAGAGCTGCACACCAAACCGAGACCGTCGTGTGTGTGTACAGTGTACAGTGTACAGTGTACAGCATGAAACACATTACAGCACTTCTCTGTGCTTGACTTCATATCAGCCACAGACAGACAGACAGACAGAGAGAGAGACAGAAGAGATGAAATGGAGGACAGCGGGACAGACAGACAGCGAGAGTGTGATGATGAAGATGATGATGATGAAGATGATGTTACCTTTCTGGGGAAGAAGATTTTTCTGAGTTGACAGACATGGGCAAGCCGCTCGCTCCCGAGAGAAGAACGGAGCCGAACCAGGGAGGAATAAAACTCTCTCTCTCTCTCTCTCTCTCTCTCTCTCTCTCTCTCTCAAGCTCAAGCATTACAGATACATATGCATTCC